TTCTTTCATACATAGCCTATCAGCACACAGATCTGCAGCAGAAGTCCCCTCCAACCCAAGCCTCCTTCAGATGGGTGGGAGAAGAGATAGGATAGCAGCTGAGAGAGATCTACAAGTTGAGTCTGTCCCTATAAAACCGGGCTGAAGGGTTTTCATTTGGTTGGTTTTGTGGGGTTTTTTTGACAGAACAGGCTCCCTTGAGAACCCATAGGCCAGAAAATGGCATGACACCCTGGTCAGGGTCTGGTATCCTTAGGGGATTGTCGCATTTACACCTGTGAACCGAGCCTTCTGCCTTATCCACCACTGAAAAATAAAAAACTTTGGTTTTCAGGAAAGTACACATTCTCTGTGTTTCCATGGTTATAACGAGCAATACAGAAGGAGTATCATTAATATGAACAGAAGCATGCTGCCTCCTAAGGTTTCCATTACTTCTTGTTTTTCCCCATCTATAGTGTTGAAGCAGCTTTGTTGCCAAGCAAAGAAATTTACTGAAGCTCCTCCTCCGAGTTGCTGAAGACCTGGTAATTTTTCATTCAAGCTAGTTGATTTACGTACTCCTTTCATAAACATACTGCAAAGTACCCTTTGAGAAGGATGTGCTCCAACCACGTAGTTGAAGCAACAGGTTATAGGTATGAACTATGATTCTTGCAGCCAATAACAAGTTCCATCAAGATAGCATTGTTCAGTCTTTGGGAAGTCACATGCCCTGTGTAAGTCATGCTGATTCTCTGCAAATAACCTGGATTGTTAACTTTCAGGCAGCAGAGCTGGGTCCCTGTTCAGCTCATCTGTAAGACTAATGGTGCTCTGAATACAGACACCACCCTGCACAATGTCTGTTTCTTCTTGCTCCAGAAGTAGTACAGACAGTGTAAAAAGGAGAGTCAGATAAACCACTCAGATTTTACTGGCTTTTGCAAGGGAAAAGGAGACCCAATGATCCATAAAACCCAGTGATGCTTGCAGAAAAAAAAAGAGGACATCCTGTTTAAGAATATTACCTACAACATTCATTTATAAACATCTGATTGCA